CTAAAGTTGAAACTTATGATGATATCCATATTAAAATTAATGAAATCAGAGCAAACAATTCCACTGCAACTCAAGTATGATGCATTTTATTAAAAGTAAGTGTTATATTATATTATATGGGGCATACTGCAACAAAATCAGACAAAATGAACATTGATATTACCAAGAATTTTAGGGATCAAAATTTAGTACAATTGGTGATTATAAATTCTTTAAAAACAATCACATTCATTTACCTAGTTTGAATGTAATAATTTCTTAATTTTTCAAACATCAAATTTTTATCAATAACATTGTCCAAAATAATAAGGGATTATGCATGTGATCATGGATAATCAATACATTGAAAAAAACTTAGAACTTTATAAATAAAAGTACTGAGGCTGAGGAAACTTTCTACTGAATAGCTTGACAACTATTAATAAATGATATACTGCCTAAAGAAATTTTAAAATAAACATTTCTTTTAAAGGAAAAAAAATGTTAACCATGATTTTATGATCTGGACTTTTAAAACATATAACAGCCTAAGAAATCTTTGAAAAAGTTTTTTTTATTTGTAGATATGCTCTTTGATATAGTTTTGAGTGAATTATTTTTTATCCAGTGATTTATATTAAAGTGAAAATTATGATCTTTTTATTATAAATTACAATATCTAAAAATAAAATCTTAAGCATAGTGTTCCTTCAATATACTATTAGTTTGTTTGATTAAATCCAAATTCCTAATAATAATGTTCTTTATCACCATTAATTCCTCACACAAACTACTAAAATCCTTAATCATTAAATGAATATTATAACTTCTGATAGGCAAACACATCTTCTTTATCAATGAAAATCTTTGAAAAGGTTCTGTAAATCTGTCCATTAAATATATCTTCAACTTATCTTCTATACATAGTTTAAAAATAATATTAGTTAAAAAATCTAAAATATATGAATAATTATTATTATAATCAACTTACGATAGAAATGAAAGCATATAACTATCAATTTTTCTAACACATAAGTCAAAGCATCCTTAATCTCAAATCTGTCTATAAAATTATAATTATGTACATAACTATTTTTTGCAAATTTTGTTAACCTTTCAAAATCTTCATCAATATGTTCTTGTAAATCATTCCCATTATAGAATGGGCCATAGGATATTTCCAAGAAAAAAAAATCATATGTGTGCTGAAATTGTGTGTTCGTTGTATATGCAAAACCATCTGGGTATTTCCTTTGGCCATTATTTTCATGATTTTGTTTTGTTGATTGCACTTGGCAACCATCCCATCTAATATCAACTGATTTGTCTGTATTAGAAAATAAAAAACTAATGATTGGTTGTATTACCATATGAGAATAGGTTCATTCATTCACTCCCACATCACAATCTTGAAATGATGGATTATGCCAAACAAATTCCCTATAAACATAAATTTTTTATATGATTATATTGTCAAAATATAGATCAGAAGAATTAATGTGATCACTTACAATTGACACATAAAACTAATCAAAGAACAATGTAATCTCTTTTCATCATTTTCACCAATTCTCAGATTCCCATCTGTTACAAATGCTTTAATAAACTCTTTTGATGGATTTGAGAGTTTATATTTGGCAAATTTGATATCATCCTTACTTAATAATAACTTATTGAATAAATTTCTTTTTTTTAGTATTTTATAAATATCCTTCTGGTTATTTCTAATTGATTTATTATAAACAATTCCTTTGGCTAAGAGATCTGTTTCTTGAAGGCTATCTGATTTGATATTGTTGCAAATTATAAAAATTGCCTCTGGCATCTTATACTTTAATTTATAATCTCTAAAATTTTCTATTAATTAAAAGTAGTTTCAAAAGCTTCTTCACATTTTTTGGAAAAAGAAGATAGTTGTCAAGACATTTTAATTTTGTAGAATTTAGAGATTTATTAATTTAAAGAATCAAAGAAAATGTTGATTATGTAGAATTATTAGAAGATATTTATTTATTATCAATTTAGAAATATGGAAAATTTGATTTAATATTATTATTTAGTGATGTGTGTTTAATTATTCATGTAAAATCATTATTTAGAAATATGGAAAATTTGATTAATATTATTATTTAGTAATGTGTGTTTAATTATTTGTGTAAAATTATTCTTTAGAAATATGGAAAATTTTTGATTAATATTATTATTTAGCAATGTGAGAATTATTCATGTAAAATCATATTGATATTTTTGAGAGTTTATATTATTATTTAGCAATGAATTAATCTTAACATGTGGTTTTTTTTTATAAAATCTATATCACGTGAATCCGTTGTTACGCGATTAGTACTTATTATTATAATTACTAAAATCCTACCAAAAAATCCGTTGAAACGAGGGTTTGACTGTATTATCACAATTGTAATGTGATTATAATTTAACAGTTCCATTTGTTATCTTAAATGATATAGAACTACCACTATATAAAAATAGTTAATATGAAATTAATTTATATCAAATCCATTATGTGAGACCCAAGAATTATAGCACAATTAGAAGTATTTTGAAGAAAGAACAGATGAAAAAATTGCCCCTTACTTTTCAAAATAAATGATACTCAAACACTTGAAATTTACCAAGAGGAAAGAAAAATAATAAATGTTACCCAACAAAAAGCAAAAATTCTTAGAAGGAAAATTATTGCAATATTCATGATCATATTTATCATCATAATTTCCTTTATTATATACCTTGCCAAAACTCTGGTGATTGATAAAACCCCCAAATGTGAGACTCTGCCAAAACTCTAATAAACAATTAATGTTTAACCTGTCAAATGATTTCTGGAGAAGTTTCACTTACAACATTAGCCAGGTCTAAGAGCTGTGGTTGTTTATTTTTTGAAAAATAATCATTAATGGCCTTTTCAACTGCAGTTTTGGATCTATTTAATATATGAACTATTTCTCTACAAGAAAAATTGTTCTTTTTTAAGCCAACAATTTCTCCACATTCAAATTCAGATAATTGAGTAACTTTGGCATTTTAGATTCTTTAAAAAAAAAATAAAATGGTTTGAAGTTTAATGAATTATTTAAAAGATCATCAAAATCAACTTGTTTGAGTATTTTGTATGTTATCTTAGCAATTAATTTACCAAATGATCTAGAATTTTAGATGTAACTGTATTTAAACATGAGATGCATTTTTACTTATACCACAAAGGTCATTAGAACTTGCCATTGTGGTCAATTTTCAAGGTGAAGATTTTTAAGGTTGTAAAACAACAAACTGCTGTTTATATGCAATGAAAATTCAGCATATTATACTATTTGATATGAAGATGAAATTTTACTTAATAAGCAAATGTGGTCAGGATAATAAAATTTTTTATTCTTTTCTCAATTATTTCTGATGATTTGCATGCAAGTGTCCATATATTTATGACCAATGAGTGCATATTCATTTTATAATAATAATAGTTATTGCATGCTTTCAATAGTTGAATTAGCAATTTTAAACATTTGTCAGATTTTTTTAATAATTTCATACAGAAACAGCAATCAGTTGATGGATGTGATAACTCGTGATGTAGCTCATCAATGGTTAATCTGTCTTTTAGCTATAATTTTCAATTCCTTATCAAAAAATCTTTAAGTTCACCATTTATAATTTTCCACAGTGCTGGATATGATTATTTCCTGCCTGATAATCTTCAATTACCCATTTTTCCTTAAGATATCTATCTATAGCCATTATTCCATTATCCCATTATTCCAAAGAGTATATTATCTCTTCTTAGATCCACAACAAGTTCAATTAATTCATTTCCAATAGTTACTTGCTATCTTTTTTTTTAACTAATAATTATACAAATCACGGAACTTATTTAGAACAGAAATTAGTATTTTGGAAAGAATATGATTAGCCAAAATTTTTTTTGCTATTACGAACTAAAGAAATATGGTGGTTAAACTATCTAAAATGCAATAAACCAGTTGCGTTTAATAATCATGCTAAAATTCATTCTAATCTTTTCCATCTCCGCATACAACAACTAATTTATAACTAAATAAAAAACTCAAAAGCTACCAGTATTACATAATATAAAACTATAAAATTAATCAATCAATAACTTTCAAATAAATCATAATCTTGTTAAAACGTACCTCTCTTTCTAATCTCCGTTATTTCACAACGAAGGAGATTTGGACAGGAGTTCTAACTTGTAATGTACCTCGGAAATAATTGTAGCATGAAAATTTTCAAAGAAGATTTTACTATTCTTAACAAAAATGTAATACAGTTAGTTACCTAAAAAGTTTTTGATGAAATGGAATCCATTTGTATTGATGATGGTAAAGATCGTATTTTAGCAATATATAAAATTCTTACTTTGGTCAATTTTATCGGTAAACTTAGTTAGTGTCGTTAAAACACTGAGCATAGAATATATTTATGTGCTTGCCAGGAAAAACTTTGTTGATCGTGGAATTTCAAAATACACAATAAAATAACAACAAGAACAAAAACAATGTTACGATATAGAATCACGTTTTCCAAATGATTGCAGTCAAAAAACAAAGTCTTGATGTTGATAATAATTCGACCAAAAATTTCGTTAATAATCATTGCTATATATATATATATATATATATATATATATATACGATACTGTTAAATAACAATAACCAATTAGAAAAATTTAATTAACTTCAAAATTATAATATGTGTATACATTATGTTTTACTATTACTATTTTTCCTACTATATTACCGTTCCATTATGTCTGGTATATCAGAGTGTGTAATTAGCTTCAACGTGGAGTTTTTATTCGAAGAAATTCAACCACTTGTTCAAATTATTTATAATCCATATCAATATTAAATAATCGTTCGAAATTATATCGAACCATGATAACTTTGTTGTTTTGTAGGCGCATTAACAACTTCGGACCACCTTCTCATTATTTATTCATCGTTCCATAATATTCTATATTTTATTAAATAATGAAGGTAAATATTTTATTTTAAGAATTTTTTTTTATTTGTCATATTTGTCATGTTAACAAGTAAACATGGGTGGTACCCAGCCAGGGTTGAAATGCGTGCATCACGTGCTTACGATCCAATTTTGTCATAATAATAATAATATTGACGCGTTTGTTATACACGTTATCCAAAAAAGTTTATCTTTGGTATTTATAATTTTATTTTTATTTTGATTTTCTCTCTTCTGATTTTTTTTTTTGTTATTATTATTGTTATTGCTAAAAAAAAAACCAAAAGAAAACAATAACAAATAAATAAATTTTTTTTTAGACGCGATTAATTCATTATATAAACACAAGTTTTAATCTTTCTTTCAATGTATTTTCCTTTCTCTTAAGAAACATATAATAAAGAACAATAAATAATAAATTTGTTTTTCACCATCAACATACAACAAATATACGAAATATATACACAATGGCAAAAGAAAAGACTACAAAAAAATCCACTACCAGTATGTAGTATAATAATAATAATAATAATAATGAACGATATATGCGTGATTTTTTCTCTAATAATTTTATTTCTACCCTTTTTAAAAGCTAAAAAACTTACACCATACAATAAATTTATGAAAACTGAACTCCCTAAAGTTAAAGCTGAAAACCCAGATTTACCACATAAAGATGCCTTTAAATTAGTTGCTGAACGATGGAAAAATTCGTAAGTTATATATAATAATAATAATACATAAGTGATATGATATTTTTTATTTTTATTTACTAATATTTTATTAAAAATTAATTATAGAACTGAAAATCCTAAAAATGCAGTTACCACAAAATAAATTTTTTAAATTCATAATAATAATAATAATTAATAATAATGACAGTAATATTAGTAGTAGTAATCTTCTAACGCTATACGAGAAATTTCTTTTTAGTAGTTAAAATGTAAAAATTAATTTTTTTTTATTTTCTTATCAATATTATTTTTTTAATTGCATTAATATAATATATTATCGTAAATAAAAATCATAATCATTTTCCTTTTTTATAAAAGTGTAGTACAATTATTTCTTGTGCAAAAAAAGTAAAAATTTTTTTTGAATTGATTATTTATTAATAAAATAAAATAAAAATATTTAGTTAAAAGTCAATGTCAAATTATAATTCTAATTCCAATTCAATATCAAATCATTCTCCACCATCATCAAATTTTCTTTCTTCGTTTGATCAAAATGACTGGATAAAAATTTGTCCAATATGTAACGAACCTGTGAATGATCTTGTTGAACTTAACGAACATTTGGATGATGTTCACTCTGAATCTGCCATCGATGTAAAAGATGGACTTGTTAAATGGCTTAAAAATGCCCAGTCAACTATATTGAAGCCTTTATCTAAAACAAAATTAAACAATATTCAAAATTTACGTCAATTTACTATCAAGTTGGAACAAGATGGTGCCGGAACTTCTGTTGTCTTTGATCAAAACTCTGAAGGTCCTATAGTTAAAAATCATTGGCAACCATATGGAGATAATGATACATGTTCAATTTCCAACTGTAGAAAATCATTGAATATTTTAAGTGGTAAAAATAATTGTCGAAAGTTGGTAAAAGATTTTTTTTAGAAATATTCATTTAAAAATATCATGATTATTGTTATTTTTATTTAGACTTAATTATAATTTTTATTTTTATTGTGTATATATTTTAGGTGTGGTAAATTATATTGTGATAATCATTGTAAATTAACTATTAAATTAAGTAAACAAGCACAACATGATCCTATTAATGGAACTTTCTTTCGTGTGTGTGATGATTGTTTTGTATCAAGAGAGGGTTATTTTGATAATGAAGGTATGTAAATGTTTTAATTATTTATAATTAATATCATTTAGCCAATAGATTTGATATTTTAATATCTTTACAATCAATAATTATTACAAGGTGTTATGAGAGGTCATACTGAAGAATTTAATAAACATCGTACTAAAATAATCGAAAGAGCTCATTTGGAAGAAAACCGATTAGAAAAACGATTAGAGAAGGTTTTTTTTTTTTAATTGATATTTGAGAAAAAAATATTAAAAATATTAATGTTATAAATATTATTAACTCATTGTCACTACAATTTTATTGTGATCATAGTTGACAAAATTATATGCATCGCAAAATAAAAATTCTATTACAGCAAAAGGTGTTTTGAAAAATTCTATAATAATTTCAAATAAAAATCAACGCAGATGTAAAATATTTACTGGATTACTGTTACTTTATGTTTTGTTTGTTAACCTTTATAAATCATTTATTTATTTGGTACATGTATTCTATAATTAGTGTCTGAACAATCTGTTGTCAAATGGGAAGATGACGCGTCAGTGGCTAATTGTCCACTCTGTGGGTATGTGGTTAATTTCTTTATTTTGATGATTTTATATTGTGCATATTACATATATATTTATTTGTACACACATTTGTATGTTTATAAATATAGAAATTATTTTGGAAAAATAACCAATCGTAAGCATCATTGTCGTTTGTGTGGTTGTGTCATTTGTGAGAAATGTTCTTCAAAAATTTCTTTGGATTTAACTAATTATACAAGTATGTAAAATTTATTTTTTCTAGTTTACAAGAATGATTGGCATTATATAATATGACATGTAATATATATTTTTATTTTTGAAAGATTCACCAGAACAAATTTCTGTTGGTGAAGTTAGAGTTTGTAAAAAATGTCGTTCAGCAGTATTTAGGTAATTATTCAGATCAACCAATAATAATTGATATTTTAAAAAGAAATTTTAAATTTTTATTCATCATATCATATCATACATTTGTATAGACGAAAAGAATATAATGAAGAAATTTCAAAGACTCCTCCTGTGATAATGCTTTATCAGGTGATTTGGATTTTATAAAAAATCATTCAATCAACAAATCAATTACTTTTTTATTTATTAAAACGAACATATAAATAATTTCAATTAATTGATTAATTAGAAATTGACAAAAATCAGATCCGCAATTGATTTGACTTTGCCAAAATTTCAGGACATGATAGTCATGTTAAAGTAAATTTGTTATTATATTTTGATTTTAGATATTACATTTTTGTTAAAAAATATTTATTCATATATATTTTCATTCTTTTAAAGGAGCCAAGAAATAGTTAATCAAACACACGCTGATTATCAAGTCGCAGCAAAAACACGTAAAGAATTACTGGATAATTTTGCTCAATTTGACGCGATCAGCAAAGAAATTAAAACCTTAACACCAAAATCTGAATCTGTAAAACGTTTACAATTAAATATTCATTTGGCTGCAAGTCAATATCTTCACCAAAATATGTTAACACTTTCTGTATTACCCCAAATGTTTAAAAGAAAGAGTAATAGCAGTAAGGGAAATGGGAATTCTGAAGACGATGAATCGTCGTCTGTTTTTTCAGTATTTTCTGCTAATAACGGTGTTGATGGCAGAACTCGTTCGTTTTCTAATTCATCAGTTAAAAAAGTAGGAGAAAAATTAGATGAACAATTGGAAGTTTTACAACAACAAGAAAAATTGGTTCTAGGTTATATTCAAGATGCAACCAGGAGGCGCAAAATTGATGATGTTAAAACTTTAAAAGCGTCATTGGATGAATTGAAAGCTGAAATTAATAGAAAGAAAGCTGAACTTAGCGGTGAATTATATATGGACTTGAAACAATAAATTATGATTAATTGTTACAATCGATTTTTTTTCTTTTGGGTGAAATGTTTTTACAACAATGATTTTATGATTTATTTAACATTTAATTAACATTTAAAGGGGGTTTTTTTTAATATTTTGTAATTTTTTGTATTTTGTATATAGATTATTAATATTGTCTTATTTAAATTATGATATAAATATTAATATTTTTTTGTGACAATCATAAATTTTAGAAAGAGTTTTATGGTATTTTATTTTTTTATATATATATGTACATTATGGACTTTATAAATATCAAATTATGACAGAAATCATTAAAAATTTAGGAGACCATTTATTTACTGGAGCAATGACTATTTTCAATGTTTTCTTATTTTCCTTCTATAGTGCACACGATCCGAGTACTAAAATTTCAACTTCAATTATATTTTTTTTTGTTTGGGCATAATGTGCGATTTTTGTTTGTGAAAAGTACTGATGCCAAATTTCTTCTGATGTGCTTCAGAGAAGAAGTTTCTTCGCATACCATACTATAACATGTTAATTCATTATCATATCTGTATCCCGTGATATCAGAGGAGACTGCACTTCGTTATCTAAAGATTTACCGATCATTTATTATTTCTGTTTTGAATAGTTTTCCCAACTCGGGAGAGCATTCATTGACGTAAAATATTTGTATCAGTGATGTGTGTTTACAATTAGGGTATAGTTCATCATATTATATGGCATTGCTTTACTCTGAGATGAACTGTGTTACCAATGTTACTGTTATTATTTGCAAATACAACCCCATATAGAACCATGTCAACAAAAGTATCTTGCATCTTCCCACCCAGGATAGCTGCAGGTGTCGCTAAGTACACCGAGTGTATTAACTAAGCACATTCATGTGTAGGAAGCATTATGTCTAGTGTACATAAAATTATAATGATAAATTGTATAATTTATTATTGACTGCTACCACTAATTATACACATCAATTCGTTTTAGTATCCACTACTAATATAAGAACACATGAATGTGACTTTTCTTTTAATCAGACAATTTCTAAAAGAATAAGAATCAGGATTATTTGAAAACTATTTTTAATAAATTTGTATGACTATTTACTATTATAACAACTCGATTAATTTTCCCATTAGTATAATAATAAAACCTTTGTGCCACACACTCTCTATACAACGAACCATTTGGCATAGTATTAGGAAAAATGTCCGTTATACCATTAATAATTGTTATTGTTATTGTTATTATTGTTATAGAGAAAGTGTGAACGAAAATTGTTTGATTGGTTAATGACTTAAAGCAAAAAAGTTTCACAATTTTTTTTAATATACCTTAATTAATGGAAGAATAAAAATACATAAACAGCATACATTTATTTTAGGAAAATAAATTTTTTTATAATAAAAAAATATTAATTTTTTGTAAAAAACAAAAAATGTCAAATTTTATACGCTTACTTCCAAAAGTACCCATGATATTCTCATCCACCATCGGTTATTATCGTTACGGACCACCACAACCATCATGGGACTTGAAGTTTTATTTGACGTTGAGACTTTTAAAAGATATGTTTAAATCAGCTGCCAATATAACTATCGAAGATGCTCAAAAAATAACTACGAGCAATAGTGCTGTCGATAATGGTATACTTGTAGATGAGCTGTCATTGTCAAATTCACTTCGTAAAAAATCAGAAGTTTACATTGATGAGATTTTGAAAGATTATAATCATGTGCTTCTTGATGATTGGAAAAGTGTTAATCTTGGGAATGGTTTAGAATGTGAATGGGTTTACGTTAAGGAAGAAGTGAGAGGAGAAGAAAACAACAATAAAAAGAAAAAATATGATAAGGTTATTTTGTTCTTACATGGTGGTGGATATGTTTACGGTTCTGCTGGTTCTCATCGTAGCACTACTTCTAAAATTGCAAAATCTACAAATGCAAGACTATTTGGTAATTAATCTTACGTACGAATTATGAAAATGAAATTTAACTTATAACTTTCTTAAACAACCCTTTTTTTAAAGCAATAAATTATAGACTTGCACCACAAAACCAATTTCCTGCAGCTTTACACGACTCAATAACTGCCTACAATTATCTTATTGACCCACCAAAAGATGCCGATTTTCTACCGATCGAACCTAAAAATATTGTAATTATGGGTAGCAGTGCAGGTGGTGGTCTAACACTGGCAACATTGCTTGCTATACGTGACTCAAAGGGATCATTACCTTTACCGGCTGGAGCTGTTGTGTGGTCACTATGGGCTGATTTAGTTAAGACGACGTCATCAATAATAGATCCAGGATTTGATGAAACAGATTACATGACAAATGAACCTTTTCATAATCTAATATCCCCCGCGTGGGAAGAATTTGAACGAAAAGCAAATGAATTATCAGAAAAAATCCAATTAAATGTTGATAATAAACCAAGATTTTGGCATAAATCATTTGATCGTGATGGTCGTTTACACCATTATGTGTCTAATGAGGGATTGGCAATTCCATACGTTTCTCCATTACTTGCCGAAAGTTTAGGTGGTTTGCCACCAATATTAGTGGTAAATAATTTAAAAAAAAAACACTCCAAATGCTTATGTAATGATAAAAATAATTTTTTATTGTATAGCAAGTAGGTGATGTAGAAAAATTAAGAGACGAGAGCATTTACCTGGCTTACAAAGCTTCCAATCCAGAAAAATACAATTTACCTTATTACAATGCTAAAAAGTTTGAAAAGTCGCCTTATAAAACACCTACAAAAGTTGTTCTTGAGGTTTATGAAGAAATGCCTCACGTCTTCCAAGTAATTTTCACAATTTTTAAATTTAAAATTAATATGAACTACGCAAATAACAATAATAATTTTAAAAATAGGCATTTTCGTATGATCATTTATCATCAAAGATAGCCTTTAAACGAACAGCTGAATTTATTGAACAATTATCATCAGGCGAAGAAGGGAAGAAAGAAATAAAAGTTTTACGTGTGACAGGTAAAGGTGAAATTATTGAAGAGTTGAAAGAGGAACATTACAAGACACTTGAATGGAAAGATGTTGGCATTGTTCCATCTAATGCCAAAAACATTTATTGTGTTAAGCTAAACAATTGATGATAAATCATAAGTGTGAATGGGAGATATTGTTTTCGAGATTCCACGTTATCTGTTTATTAATTTGTTTGCTTACGTTATATAGGTATATATCTAAACTTTCATTATTTGCAATTTTATTATTGATAATTGTTGTTATTTGATTTGATCAATTGTTAACTATTTTTTTATGTATTTATGAGAATTTTCCCAATAAATTTTATCTCAAATAATTTGATTTCATCAGTCATTAAAAAATTATGCGTAAGCATGAGATTTTTAGGGTAGGAATGAACTTTTTGCTGTGAGAAAATCAACGATGGCTTGCTTTAAATTTATAGTATATAAAATAAAATAAAGGATCAAATAGAAAAATCTTTAAAATTATTGAATATGAAAGGAATTTCTAGTAAAGATAGATACCATTATAATATTTTTACTGACGCAAATATCAACAAATATTCAGATGAGAGAAATGTATATTATAGTAAATGTTCAACTTGTAATAGATATAACGGCGATATACAATTACTAACTGAAGGATTGATGAGTTAATAGAAAGCATATAACTTAGAATATGATAATTATAATTATCTTTAATGGATTGCCTGTGATGATTTAAAAGATAGTTAAAGATGGCTATTTAGTTAAATGACCAGATAAATGCAAGTGGTGAGAATGGAAATATTTTCAAGAAGTGGCTGTTGTGATTGTGCTATTGTAGTTGTTTATATCTTTGTTTCACTAAATTTGATCTTGAAGTATTAGTAGCACTCTTGATGTCAAAATAAATTGATGGAAGAAATTTGACATTATTAAGTTCAATAATGGCATTCTATTAACTATGTGTAATGTATCAGATACAAACAAGTTTGAATTATTTTAAAAGTATTCGTGGTTGTTGCAATCTGGATACCTTGGGATAAATTTTGTTTCTTTGGTGACAAATTCCATTCATTTGTTAGGCTGAAACATAATCAATGGTAGTAATTGAAAAAATGGTATTTTTTCAAATTCGATATCAAGTGGAAAAAAAAATAATTGTCCTTTTTGTCCTTCGTTGTTTCATTGTTGTTTTTATTTTCATTGATTTTTATTTTTATTTAATTTTGTGTACTTTTAATTATTTCATCTATAATTTCATTACCACCCTTGAGTTAGTAACTTTGGATCTATTCATGGATCTACAATTATTTTTCCTGGATAAAATAAGAATAATCAGATTCTGATATTTGCTGATACCCCATTACCCAATTTGGCATCATTTAACCAGTAAAAAGAGAACCAATAGATTATATATAAGCAAAGAAAGATGGGAGCACAAAAGAATTTAAATCATGCACAAACATAACAGCTTGATAGCTTGATTGACATAGTGGTGCAGTCTTGCAATTTTTTTATTGTAT